TAATCATCGCGTCGTAAAGCCTCAGGTCTGGGGTGCTTCGTCCCTGAGTCTAGTTTGAAAGAAGGTCTGTATTCCACCGGCCTGCGATCAACTCCGACGCTCAAGTCTGTTGACGGGCTCCAATCCACGTACACTTAAGCTCATCCTGCGACCGTGGTGCAAGCTACTGACCGTTTCTCCCCGTTCCGTGCGCGCCCTTTCGCCTTCGCTTCTCTTGCACTGGGCGAGGGTGCATTGTTCCGCACTGTCCACAAGGCCGTCGAACAGGGAGAGGGAGACCTTCGTCTTCTTTGTCGCGAGAGCACTCTCACTCCACCAAGCGATGGCGGCTGCCGCTCCGTGTCCCGGCAGATACGTCCCCACAACGGCAAAGGTGATGTAATAGCTTCCCACCACCCGATACACTCCATCTCGACTTCCTTCCAGGCTGTGGGTGAAGAATGCCGTTCGGAGGAATGCCGCCGTAAAGCAAGCAACCTCGTCGATCTGGAAAGGCATCCTCATACCTGCGCCTCAGTTGAGCTGCTTCTGTCCGATAAGGAGAGTAGACGTCCGATGGACCTTAGTTTGGACTCAGGCGCTCGCCAATATTTGGACTCGGTGGCGATAGGGATTCATACATTTTCGGACGCCAAGTTACACCTTTGTGTCCGTTCTCACGCCGGCGTTTCGCTACCGTTGGACAAGATACCGTCAGCCGAACAAACGGTCCGCCTAAGACCTGACCACAGGGAACGAGATCGAAGTTGATCATTACCGTCGATTTTAGAACCACGTATTCTACCGTTTCGTATGCGGAGGTTGTCCATCGCACTCAGCACCGTCCTGAAGGAGAAAACCCTTGGTTCGTTTACCTGATATAACTGATTCGAGGATCCCTACTTGAGAGCCAGGACCACGCCCAGCCACCTAAGAGACGAGCGCCCAGAAGGCACTACCCACGCGCCGTCACAGCTTGAGCGTAGGAAGAGCCCAGTTCGAGGCGGGTAGGCATTTCTGTTCACCCTTATATAATATATATATAACTATATATTTCCTTGATAGCTTCCTTGATAGCTTCCTTGATAGCTTCCTTGATAGCTTCCTT